AAAAAAAAAAAAAAAAAAAAAAAAAAAAAAGAAAGTTGATCATTCGTTAAAGGGGTATACCGCTTCGAAAAAACGTTTCTTGTTTTTATGTCATTTCCTTTTTTAAATGTCACACGTGAATCTCTCAGAGAGCGGACTTGGATCGATATTAATTTATTTCAGTTTCTATCAATTTGTTACATAAATATTCAGGATTGATATTCAATTCTCGAGAAATAAATGACTTGTGTATTCTTGAATATATAGAGTTGATCGATCAATACATGATCAATATATACATCACATTGATATATATATATATATATTATAAGTATATATATATTATATAAAATATTAATATCATCATTTATATGTAATATAATATACTGTAATAAAATTTAATATATAATATATGATAATACTACAATATTAATGTATATATTGAGTTATAACAATATATATATATATATATATATATATATTGGGTTATAACATAAATTCGTTCTCTTTATGTATTTATTACAATGATGTTACGAATAATTGAATAATTTACGCTGTTTTATATTATACAGTTAATTATTCACGGTATATTAATTATTTCGTGTCATATAATATTATGAAATATCATATAAATTATAAAATAATATTACATACGTTATGTTACGTAATATATTATAATATAATATAATAATATAATATAATTATGTAGTATACTATAGTACATATATACTACAATTATAATAATATATATACTATAATATATACTATAGTTTACTACATAACTATAGTATAGTATAATATAATTATGTAGCTACGTAATATATTATAACAATATTATAATATAATTTTATATTATTTCATTAATTCTTAATTATTTCATGTTACATAGTAATTTTTGCAATTTGTCAATTTTACGTCGCAACTCGATACCATCTACTTCGCCAGAGAAGAGCCTTTCAAAATCCAAGCAATCGCAAGTGCGAAAGTTCCGTTTCGTTTCGTTTCGGTCAATTTTTCACATCGTACCCCGAGAGAGTGACATTTTGTGGGCGAAATTCAAATTCCGAAAATTTGCAATTTCGCGCAATTCGAAGCGGTCCGCCCCTTTTCCGATTGTTTCAATCGCCTAACGAACTTCTGATCCGACAAACAAACGGCAGGCAGAGGGGGCGGAGTTCATCTACGAAATGTCGAGGACACCGACGATGAAGCGACTGATGGCACGGCCGAATCCAAACAAACTGCCAGCCTGTTCCTCGCACGCGTACCCGTCGTTGGACTATTGGCGGTGTTACGCGCGTTATTACACGATGACCATCTATCACCCGTGCGGCACGTGCAAAATGGGACCGTCCGTTGACAAAATGGCGGTGGTGGACGCGAGGCTGAGGGTGCACGGCGTCCAGGGACTTCGAGTGATCGACGCGTCGATCATGCCGGTGATCGTTTCAGGGAACACGAACGCACCGACCGTTATGATCGCTGAGAAGGCTGCTGACATGATTAAGGAGGACTGGAAGGCCTAAGAAACTATATGTTAGGCGAGAGCTGATCCCGTCGATCCGAGCTTCTTTTTTTTTTTTTTTTTTTTTTTTTCTTTTTTTCCGAGCTATCACCGCGGTCTGTGCAATTCTTCTCGGCAACCGATTGCGGACCGTAACGAGTGGCCCGAGACACCGTATACGATAATGTCGTCCCCTTCTTTCTGAACTCGCCGGTATCGATGAGATTATAACATTGATTGTTTACGAAAATTATAATACGTTCAATGCAGAAGGCAAGGCCTCTGCTTCTTTAGTTACACACATCATACGAAGATATGTACGTTCGTGTAAAAATCACAAGTGAATATATTCATGTAAACTGCTCCGAACACACACCCTAACTATGTATAACCTACAATCTCTCGAACCTACCGATCACCAAGGCCGATCTGACTTTCCTCTATCATTCGTCAGCACATGCCGATTCAATTGAAATCTTACTTTCAGCAGAAGTGAAATTGCGAAACAGCCTCTGAACACGACTCGATGATTCATTCCTCGATCTGCGTCGACGTTACTTTTATTTCAGACCAGCCAGGCGCTGGTTTTCCTTTCTTTCCGTTCAGTTTTCAACAATATCTCGTTGCTCCCACTTCCTTGGTCAGTGTCATCGTCAGTTTCGTCCGTCGAACCGGCTTGTTCGCGCGTTTATTACCTGTACAGGGTGTCTCAAGTTTAAACGAACGAGCTTCACCAGTACGTTCGACGAATTGAAAGATGGAGAGGAGTATCATTGGATGAGAAATTTTATCAAACTGTATATTCAATTCTGGTAACTTCAGCTGGCCTCATTTTAATGTAAGAAGCCTTCATTTTCACAGACGTACGTTAGTTTCTTTCAACGATGTTTTCACAGATCGTGTAGTAAGGATCTACCATCTGTACTCGAAGATTGTGAAAAATTAGATGCCTCCGAGAACGTTGGGAAATTCTCTTCGCGACTGCATCTACCATGGTCTCGAAGATCGAAGCCTCCTCTCGAAACTCACCGTACGATCTCTTCTCGCCATTTTATCGAACTTCGAGTGTTAGGATGAAATAGTAAAACCTTGGGATTTCTCCAATTTCGGTCGTTTCACTCTGACGTTCAAGATTTA